GTGTAATCATAGAGGGAATATCCTCTGATTGGCAGGATAACTAACTCTGGGAAATATCATGGAGGGAATATCTTCTGTCGGCAGAATCACCCTCTTTGTGTGTAACTTATTCTGAGGCTCTGTCGCCTGTCCTTTCTGCCTCCTTGAGTACTGCTGATGGGTAGTGGCCTGCTCCACTCCCTTTGTTGGATTCGTGGAAGGTATTTGGGTCCCAACAAGTGATTTAAAAGGTGTGCCTCCTAGGCGCACAGGCAAGGCGCATTTTAGGGTATGCGCCTCGCCCAAGTCCTAGGCTCACCCCTTTCAAAAGGCGCCACCTGGTGCACCTAGGCATGTGCCTGATGCGCCTTGTGCCTCAGCTCAGGCTTGCTTTTTAAAATTCTGCGTTTTTTTTTGCTTTTTTTTAGCCTAGCTGCTGAGGCTATTTGCTAATGTTGTTCATTCGTTCATTCATTCCGATAAAATATCTTCTTAAAAGGCAATTAAAGTTATAAAATCATTATTTTTTTATGAGAGAAATACGAATTTAAGACCCTAACATGGACTTGTTTGGGCTTGCCTTGAGGGGCGTGGTACAAAGGCGACTCATAGAATCAAGAATGCAATATGTTTTACATCACATTAGCTACTTGAAGTAATGCAATTGAGGAAAAATAGAGATTGTGGGTTTTATATGCTTGAAAATGCTTTATATGTTTGCTTTTTTTTTTTAAATTTTCATTTGAATATTTTTTACATGCTATTGTTTATGTATTTTAATTTTAGATAATAGGTTTTTTAAAACATTTATTTTAAAATTTAAGTTTATATTTTTTATTAACATTATGTTTAATATTTTTTTGACTTTTCTGACATTTTTTTAATTTTTTAGCATTTTTTTTTGAATTGTTGCGCCTTGCTTCAAAAAGGCGCATGTCTTGCCTTGCGCCTCAGGCGCAAATTGGCTCTTGTGCTTTTAACACCAATCCGGATAAAGCATAGGTGCCAAGGTTCTTGATCATTACCATTCGCCCATCTAATCATGTTAAGAGAACCCTATTTTTTGTTTGATATGATGACTTGAAAAGAATCAAGAGTTTGGACAAAACTATGGCCATGCAGGAGAGTTTCTGCTTCTGCAAAGGTTGCATCTTTGATTCCTAGAGGAGACCAGTTCAATTCCACATGACAGCACCATTGCCATCTCTTATGACCCCACCATAATCCGAATTCCCAGAGTTTGTCTTCCCTACTCCTTTAAAGTTAATTTGGATGTGCGTTGAAGAGGAAATAGCCACAAGATTGAGATAAATATGTCTGAATTTGAATTTTCATAAAAAACGGCAAGTCTTGCAATACCTCGTCATGTTCATCCTTACTAACATCCCATACAAAAAAGAAAATCTTTTTTATGGTCTGGATTTTTTCAATCACCTTAATGAAGGAGGTGGACTTCAATCAAGCCAGTCCTTCCCTCTTGTAAATAATGAAAATTTCCCCCCTCCTTCCTCTGCTTGCAAAAATGATAAATAAATAGAGAAGTGATTTGTTGCAAGTTGAATTGCCTAGTAGAGCTAGAAGCAAGCCTAAAAGACATAGGTTGAAGTTGTGAGAAATGATTTGGGGATCCATGTACAGGATCGATGTAATTGACACTATGTTGAGATAAGGCTTTCCATAGCTTATAGAACAAGATTAAGATTTTTGAAGGGGGAGTGAACTTTTGGGCATTCCGCAATGGACAAAATCTAGTGAAGTCTATCAGATGCCTATGTCAACCCTAATTAGGCAGAGAACTTTACAAGAACAATTGCTGTAGTGATGATGGTGACATGTGATACAATGTTTCTTAGGGTTTAGATTTAAGAGATGCCAAGATCTCATTTTCTAGATACATAACTATATATATATATATATATATACTTGATCAGTACATACTATTTTGAATTTTTGATACCAAGATTTCACTGTTTGAAAGGCATTGCGTTCTTGAGGCCTTGTGCTGATGGATGTCTTCTATTTTAGTAATGACTATCAATGTAAATGTAAGTTGTTACATATGTGACACTGTCTACAACAAATCTACTTTGGTTATTGGTTTTGTCTGTTAATGCACATTTGGTTATCTTCCTTATTACTAGTTATGTCAATATTGTTCATGAATTGGTTTTTGGTTTGGGAAAGATTTTATTATATTCTTCTTTTCTTAATTTATTTTAGTTTAACTTTCCAAGGTGTTCTTTCTCTACTCCTTTTCTTTTTAACTTTAAAGTATCTTCTTCATTCTTTTCTCCTCACTGAAGACCTCCTTAAGCTTCCTAGTTTAATGCTTCATCAGTAATTAATGGATGATATATTCGTTGTTGTTGCACCTTGCTAATGCCAGTATGTTTAATGGATGATATATTCATTATCTAGAAGTCCCTAGCTTCCTACAAGTGTCATTTATTTATAAGTTTTATTACTCTAGGTAACTGTAAAATGTATGTATTTTTTCTATTAGAGCTACTTGAAGTAGTTATTGCCACTAGAGACAATCCTCATCGTAGTAGTCTGTCTGCAAAGGTGATGTTTAAGGAAGTGATAAAATCCTAATAAGTGGTCTGTCGTTTGCTGAAGCTTCTGCAGCTTTCCAAGATTAAATGGAAAAGAAGCTAAAGTTAGCTAGTGTATATCCAAAGTGATTGCAAGATTCTGATTGAGGCAGTTAAGTCAACCTCGGCAACTCTTCGCAGGTGAGCTGGGTTCGTATGATAGACGATGTAATGGTTAGAGAGAAAGGACTGAAGCTGGTGAATGGTCTCTCTAGAGGAGTTGAGGGCTGAATTATCAAAAGTTGCAAAGAGAGCGGATTGCTAGTATCAAAGGTTTTTGGTTGCTAATTGCTATGCTAACTCTTGACTTTACGATCTTTAATTCATGGTCGTTTTTAGTTTAATTTTTGGCTCTAATGACCATTGAATTTTGCGAAAAGGCCATTTTTGACCTTTAAGTTTTCGCTCTTGAACTATGGTGAAAAGGCTATTTTAAGGTATAAACAGACGACGTTAGACAAATAATAAAATAATGTCTGATGTGATACTGTTCAAGTTAAAAAAAAAATTATTTGGAAAATTACAAGTGGGTTCCACGTAAAATTTCCACCTATGCACAGATAATTAATAATGAACAAAAATAATTATTTTTTAATAATTAATTATTAATAATCATTAATAAAACAAATAAATAATTTTGCTCTTTTAATTTAAGTAATTTCATCATTTTTATAATAAATTATTAATAATACAAATATAAATACAATTTTATAACACATAAATATTTATTAGTAATAAAATATAAATAATAATATTGGTTTTTTGTTTTACTTATAATTCATTATTTCATTAATAATTAAATATTAATTAACAATATTTTATTGTTATTCTTAATCAAATGTCAATTAGTGGGATTTTTAGGTGGGACCCATTTGTTTTTTCCTTGTAATTACTTAACTTGAAAAAGCCAGATTATTTTTGTTTTATTAATAATTTATTAAAAAATTTATGTTTTTTTCTGCAATTTATGTTTTTTTGGCATGGATGTATATTTTCTGAAAATGTTTATCATTTTATGTAATTTTTGCAATTTCTGGTTTTTTAGCTTAAACATAGATTTTTTTTTTGAAATTTTTAGCATTTTCTGTATTTTTTTTCTACAATTAATTTTTTAATTGAATTTTATACTTTTTTTTATCATTTTCTGTATTTTTCTACAATTAATTTTTTTAATTTAATTTTATACTTTTTTTTATCATTTTCTTATTTTTTTCTGTAATTTCTGAAGTTTTACATGAAATATATATTTTTATCATTTTTTATGCATTTTTATTTTATTTGAACAATATTTTTTTGTACTTTTCAATTTTTTTTATGTTTTTAGTTGAAATATATATTTTGTATGTTTTTATGCCTTTGAAACAGAGAAGTAAAAAATCCATTTTGAGTTAGTGGGTCATATGGGAAGGAAAGGGTGGGTCAGTGGCAGGTGGGTTATGGCCCACAAACATCAATAAATATAGGTTACAAATGGATTAACGGTTCAGTGATTCAGTGATAATCCACACCCGACCCAATCCAACCACTTTGTCTTTTCTACTTCTTATCTGCATCTTTCCTAATATCTCTTGTTTCTGTCTCTCCATATTCTCCTGTACATCTAAAAACCTAGCTTTTATATTATATTATTTATGTATATTTTCAAATTAATCCAAGCATATTAAGATCAAGTCTAAGAATACCAAAAAAAAAAAAAAAGCTTCCGATACAAATAATGATTGCCTATGGAAAGGTACACAACGATAACCTTGTAAATTAGTTCTTACCAAAAAAGAAAAAAAAAAAAAATTCATGTAAACTACTTCTGGGGCTTCACTGCTTCAGTATTACTTTTTCCATGTCTACTCCGCTAATTTGGTGGTAAATGCTTGAATGAACATACAAGAAAACACAAATATAATGGTGTTTAGTGGGATTATTGAGAGGGCTGCGGATAACTCACTTCAGGATCCAAGCTTTCAAATGTACGTTCCTGTTCAGCATCTGAATTTCTAGAAAGATACATTTAAGTCCAACTGTGTTAAATTAACGTTAAGATCAGGGTAAAATCATGTAAGGCTCAGTTTGGAAGAATACAAAAGAAGAAAACTCTCTTTCTTTCCAATAATCGCCCAGCTGCACACATATATCTGGATCGTATTCCCATTTGTACTTGGTTGACGACTAGCTCCTTGACCCTTGCTCGTATTTCCACTAGTAATTACTCTGATCCGTGGCCGTCTCCCTCTGTCAATATGCGGCATCCTTTTTGGAGCTTGATTTCCCCTGTGCTATCCCAATTGTATTCTCCATTCATTGTTCAGTTGGAAACGGATCTACTGCACCCAACTTGAAGTTTTGAAAAGAGCAAGAGGGGAAATTCCCTCTGTTTTGTTACGGAGTCAGAGTATATAGCCTTCAAGTGGCTTCTCATATTATCCTCTTCTTCTCCATATGCTTTTCTATTTAACACTACGTGTAGATCTCTCTGTCTTGTTCCGTTTTCACTAACCTGGGCTGAGGTTCTTCCTTTTAGGCTACGAATGAAATGTTAAACAGTTTTCATTTGTTATTTCAAATTCACCAAGTTGCATTGTCCATTTCCACAAGGAAGCGGACTGAACCATTACTGTATTATGCAACTGATCATGGATGGTATCATTTTCAATCTAATCGCCGATTACAAGTAGACCTTGGTAAAACCTATCGTCGGCTCATGGTAATGGCGTCACTTATGCAGTGATTTGAGCAAATACGATGGAAACAATGAACAGCAAGGTTCAGTGAACAGTATCTTAAGGTATAAGACAGTGAACAATGTATTTTTTAAGAGTAATTTTGAAATTTTCAAAAATTTTAAGTTGTATATGTCATCATATCATATGATCAGTTAACTAATAAACAGCTAATAATAGGGACTAAATTGACGTTTTTTGAAAGTTTAGGTACTGTGTATTGACACAATTTGAAACTTGCATACTAACTTAACTTGACACAAGGTAGTAATCTGAAATTTTCCCAAAAAGAAAGGGTCATTAGTGGCTTCGTTTGGTGCAACCCGCATACTCACACTATTCGCACAAAAAATGCAACACGCACCCATAGGCTCATGTTTTTCTAAACTTATAGGACTCTCACACCGTTAGCTCGAGGAATTCTTTCGAGTTACTATTATTTTCCCTCTTCACTCTCTCCAGAACCGAACCCACTGAACCCCCTCTTCACTCTCTCCCTCTCCAACCGGCGACGACGAACGGCAATCACTGCTTCGAGCGTGAACACCAAATCTGAATACAAGAGTTTAATCGAGCATGAATATCAAAACAAACTGCCAAACTGCTTGCCATTCCAGCACTGATTGTTGTTAGTCCCAATAACTTTGTGGCCTTCATTCATGCCGTTGCCGGCCGACCAACCCAATTAACTGTAGCTGGGCAGTGGCATACCACACAAACAGTGATTATGGGTAAATGACTCATAGCTAAACTATTGCACCTTCCCGCCAATCGGGATCCTTCCAAACAACCGATTGTAATTGAAATATGGGGTTAGAACCGACCCCTGAGGTGGTCGGACACGTGACCATCACAAGTATGTATACGCCTTAACCTACAACCACGATCCCAACGGGTTGATATGACCTTGGGACAAAGAAGTCCCCCTCGGGTGGTTAGAGGTTGGTTTGCTCCCCCTTCGCTTCCTACGGTTTACCAATGACAAGACGAGCTCATCTTGAGCGGACTAGTCGTTACCACCCACTGAATTTGGTTAAGTAATAGCTCGACGTATGACCAGAGCTACATGTATAAATAAGCATGCTTTGTCAAGGCTGTTGGATTTTAATTTCATTAGAGATTAAATCCAATGGGATTTAATTGATCAATTAAATGAAAAACATATTAGCATTAATGTTTTGAAAAATATTTTTTTCTCTTACTATAACCAATTTTTAACTTGTTCCATATTTGAAAATTATTAAAATTGTTTTGAATTTTTAAATTGGAACTCACTTACACTCTTTAGAAATATAAGAGGAAAGTATGGAGGCTTGCTACCACGTAATGCACGCGCACGCATGTGCAACGCAATGAGATGCTTTAGTTGTTATAATTTGATCGGGTGTGATCAAGGAGTATTATTCAAAGTTAGCAGTCATTAATTGTTAACTACCTTTTTAACAGTCACAGGATTTGAAATTGTGACTATTCAATGTGTCTTTTTTAAACCAGTACCTTCCTCTACTCTATGACTCTTCAGAAATTAAGGAGTGTTAATCAAGCAAATGAACATAAGTTTTTCAAAATCACTCCTATCTCTCTCAAATCGATTTGCTATTGTCTCACAGAAGGTTTCTTCGAGACTCTTCAACTTTGCTAGATATACATTCTCGCCCAATGTTGCCTATAATCCACTAGCAAATTCAATGCAACTGAGTGGGGGAAAATAACAATTTAAAGACAATGTCTTTAGGCACACCTCAGAACTTCTCCTCCAAGTTTTAGTGACCTCAATTTTTCAACAATTTTAGAACGTTATTTTGCAATGGAGATGGAAATAAGCATGACTTCGATCAAGATGATGAACCAAGATCTTGTTTGACTTGACTAGTTTGATAGAACAAATTTCAATCGATGACAAGACAAGATGGTCTTCTTTTTGACCACATTGAAATTGTACTATTTTCTGTATTTGAATATGTAACCGCTTCCTGAACCCACTGGCAAAGACTCTGAAAATCTAAAAAATGAAAGCAAAATGAAAAGAGGATTCACTTTTGTGTTAAGGACATATATTGAACGCCTTATTAGACCAGTTGTACAACTTCTACAAGGAACGTTCTATCCAAAAGAAATTTGGAAGGCTTTGGAATTCAAGTATAAAGTCAAGAAGCAGGTACGAACAAATATCTTATTGTAGAATATTTTGACTTCACCATGAATGAACATAAGCCCATATTGAAAAAAGTTCATGAGTTACAGGTGATAGTCAACAGAATTTGATCCCTTGACATCATCATTCTTAAATCTTTTCAAGTGGGAGCAATAATTATCAAATTTTCACCCTCTTGGAAGAATTATAGGAAGAAGCTTTTGCACAAGGTTGAACCCTAAGGTAAACTTTGTGGAGCAAATTTAATATCTTCGTATTGAAGAAGAGTCCCGGATTAGAGATAGTAGGGATAAGACCCTAGTCAGTATGTTGAACTCTAAGGTAAACTTTGTGAAAAATGGATTGAAGAAGACTAATACTGCATTACAAGTAAAGAAAAAGGATGGGAACTTCAAGAAGAGCAACAGTAAGAAAGGATCATGTTATGTTTGTTGAAAAAATGGGCACTATGCCCGAGTTTGCCGACATCGGAAAGGTAGGACCAAATCCAATAAGATGGTGAAAGACAAT